CCAGTATAGTTAATCCACAGTGTCTTTGATTATCTTTTACATATAGATCTGGATATTGACATTGGGGCAGGCATTTGTCGATTTAGCACAGAATGTTATATTTGTTGAATCATTAGAATTACATCACTGTATATTATTCCTGTAGATTTTATACTGCAGTACTTGGGGGGTCTTATGCTGCAAGTTATTTTATTCGGCCAATTAGACTTGGGTACTATTGGCCATTGCATAATAGAACACCTAATTAGACTGGAACTAATTAGGACCAGCTCTATTAGACTGGGTAAAATAAGACAGGTCTAATTAGAACCAGCACAATCAGTTGGCACTATTTGAACAGTACTATTGATGCGCGTTAACTGTATGCTACAGGATGTGGTGCCTGCGTGATTGGCGTTCCTGATTAGTTTTATCGATGTTTGTTCATGCATAGCTGTCGCCTGGATTTGCGACAGATGGTAGATCGGTGGCACTGGCGGGTCGAGTGGGGCATGCCTTGATCTGTTCTGCCGGTATGCTTTTCCGATTATCTAGTGTGTTTTGTACGGCAGAGCCGATGAGCAACGCGCTGCAGCGGCAGCAAGCATAGTATAGCGATCGCAGCCTGTTATAGGGCAGTCCTCACGTTCACGGGCGAGTGTCGGTTGGCAGTTGATGCATGTGAGCATCATCACCGCACCTCTTGCACTATAGCTTGACCCGCGCGCGATTGTCTGCTGGCTTGATGCCCGTGCGACTCACAGCGATGGAGATGTTGCAATGTGCCACCGGCAGCTTACGTCACGCGCATGGCCGTTTGCGCAACGCCCGCGCGCCAGTGGTGTTAGGGTAATATAATGCAATTGGATATTACTCTGCCGTGCGTTGGGCTGTGCCGCAGTGGCCGCGGCGGGCTGGGCTGTTGGTTTGCGCGAGTGTGAGGAGTCTATAGAATTGGAGCGCGCGTAGTGGCGACGATCGCGCTTGCTGGCGGTGTGCCGCCCAAAATAAATAGTGGATTGAAATTATTATGTTTGTTTGAGAGCGGTGGTGTCTGTGTGTGACGATGACTTTCGAATCCTGTGTCTCGCAATAGTGCGTGCTGTAGCGTGGTGCGTGCGTGCCGTGCGTGCGTGCGTGCGTCCGTGTGTCTTTTACGGCACTCAAGCCGATTCCGGTCATCATTTATGCTACGTATTTTCCGGCATGCCCGCTGGCGTCAGTTAGATCTTAAGAGGAGAGATCAATAATGAAGCTCGCAGTCGTTATCGCAGGCGCCTGCGTTCAGAAAGAATGTATTAGTTCCTGTTTCGCTGCTTTAGCGTGGTTATGTGGTGTCACGGAACATGACAGTACAAGTAATAAACAGGTATGCGTGTCTCTCGCCGACTCTCTCTCTCTCCATCTCTCTTCTCTCTTCTCTCTCTCTCTCTCTCTCTCTTCTCTCTTCATCTCTCTCTTGTCTCTCTCTCTTCTCTTTTATCTCTCTCTTCTCTTTATCCTTTTCTCTTTTCTCTCTCTTCTCTCTCTCTCTCTCTCTATCTCTCTCTCTCTGCTCTCTCTTTCCCTCTCTCTCTCTCCCCCTTCTCTCTCTCCCTCTTCTCTCTCTTCTCGTTCTCTTCTCTCTCTCTCGGCTCTCTCTCTGTTTGCTCTTTCTCTCTCTCTCATTCTTTCTTCTCCTTCTCTCTCTCTCTTTCCCCCCCTCTCTCTCTCTTTTCTTTTCTTGCTTCTTTTCTCTCGGCTTCGTTCTCTCTTCTCTCTCTCTCTCTCTCCTCTATCCGTGGCTCTCTCATCTTCTACTTTCTCTCTCTCTCTCTCTTCCCCTCTGTCTCTCTCTCTTCTCTCATCTCTCTCTCTTTTTCTCTCTCTCTTTTTCTCCCTTATTCTTATCTCTCGCTCTCTCTCTCGTCTCTACTCTTTCTCTCTCTCTCTCTTTTCTCTCTTATCTCTCTCGCTCTCTCTCTCGTCTTCTTTCTCTCTCTCTCTCTCTCTCGTCTTCTCTTCTTTCTTCTCTCTCTCTCACTCTCTCTCTGGTGGCTCTCATATTCTCTCTCTCTCTCTGTCTTCTCTTGTCTCTTCTCTCCTCTCTCTCTCTCTCTCTCTCTCTTCCTCTGTCTCTCTTCTCTCTCTTCTCTCTCTCTCTCTCTCTTCTCTCTCTCTCTCTTCTCTCTCTCTCTTCTCTTTATCCCTTTTCTCTGCGCTCGCTCTCTCTCTCTCTCTCTCTCTCCTCCTCTCTCTCTCTCTCTCTCTCTCTCTCGCCCTCTTCTTTTTCTCTCTCTCTTCTCTTTTTTCTCTCTCTCTTTCTCCCCTCTTTTCTATCTCTCTCTCTCTCGCTACCCTCTTCTCTGCTCTTCTCTCTCTTTCGCTCTACCCTCTCTCTCTCTCTCTCTCTCTCTCTCTCTCTCTCTCCTCGATCTCGCCTCTCTCTCTACTTTCTCTCTCTTCTCTCTCTTTTCTCTCTCTCTCTCTCCGCTCTCTCGTCTTCTCTGCGTCTCTCTCTCTCTCTCTCTCTCTCTCTCTCTCTCTCTTTCAATCTCTCTCTCTCTCTCTCTCTCTCATCGTCTACGGTTGGCGTCGCGTATTTGACAGGCGGCGCTGTAAACACCGGCAGTGTTGCTCGTTGTGTGAGTAACAGTGATCTGCATATTATAATAACACAGTGTGTTCTCTTATACACAGTTCAGCGGTGAGTAACAACGAGCAATGTCAATTAATGAGGTGATGATAGTCAATGTGTGGGTAACCAACCACCTAGGGGCGGGGCGCTAGCTACTGTTACTGTAGTGTAGTGTGCTAATTCTGTAGTAGTGTTGTGGCGTACACTGCAACGCACGCCTGTGAAATTATCATGCAGGATCATCACGAGATATTTATGGCTTGTTTATTTCCGCTCGGCCTCCTACGCGTGACCCTGTTGATTTAAGCGCATAATATAACGTTTCACGGCGTGGAAGAGTGACGGGGGAATCAAAATGCGAACTAGACTCGACACGCGCGCACGACAGTGAGCGACCGTTGCGTAACAAACAACACCAATGTTCATTTATGACACACGCACGACTACTATGTAATAACCCCATGTTTATTCATCCAGTATTACAGTTGCATCCGGATTACAATAAAAAAATGCGCGATAGAAAACATTCTATACATTTCTAGTGCGCGCGCACACACGCATCGGTGAAGGTGACCCTGTGGCTCGATAGAAAGAGCGTGTACAGTGCAGATTGCACACGCACTCTCCTACTGGATTTGAGAAGCCAAGAGTGATCCCGCCCGACAATTTTCTCATATTCCTTGTATCGTCGTCACTTCGGTGCATGTTAACTAGTTAGAGATGAATGCACGAGATCCAAAACCTGCAACGTCTGTGCATACGCGATGCCGACCGCTGAAACCTAGCGCCTGCATTGTGCTATGATGCTATAACATGCGCACGATACGGCTACACGACGTATAGGCCCTAGATCAGCATCGTGACATTCGGTAGATAGAACGTAACGTCTGCATCGTGCTATGACACTGTATCGTGTGCACGATACGACTTCGCGGCATACATACATTCTATACTTGTCACTCTCAGTGACGTCATCGTCAATTTTCGTGACGTCAGTGTGGCGGTACGATGTCGTTAAACGGAAATAACGCTAAAGATGGATGACGGGTAATTTCAACGTAAATTTCCCGTATTACAGAGGAGCAGTGCTGCCAGCGCTCACCCTGGGCTGGGTATCATGAGCGAGCTAGACCCGCAAGTATCCCAACGGGCCTTTAAACTCGACCAAACAACTAACCTCCACGCAGTAAAACCGACAAATTGCAATATTGCAAAGTGTCATTCGATTTAACGAGCAAAACAAATATCTCGAAGAGCAGCTTTCTTTCTCTCTCTCTCTCTCTCTCTCTCTCTCTCTCTCTCTCTCATGGATAGATAGATAGATAGATAGATAGATAAATAGATAGATAGGATAGATAGATACGATAGTATAGATAGAATAAGCATAGATAGATAGATAGCATAGATAGATAGATAGATAGATAGATAGATAGATAAAATAGATAGATAGCAGTAGCTTAATAGATAGATAGCATAGCATAGATAGATAGATAAATAAATACGATATATACGATAGATACGATAGATAGATAGATAGATAGCATAGATAGGATAGATAGGATAGCATAGATAGGATAGATAGATAGATAAGATAGATAGATAAAATATATAGATAGATAAATAGATAAATACGATTAAATAGCAATAGATAGATAGATAGATAAATCGATCGGATAGATAGATAGATAGCATAGATAGAGTAGATGAGATAGCATAGCATAATATAGGTAGATAGATAGCATAGATAGATAGATAGAATAGAATAGATAGATAGATAGAATAGATAAGATAGATAGATCAGATAGATAGAGAGATAGATTAGATAGAAGATAGCATAGATAGAATAGATAGATAGATAAGATAGATAGAGATAGATAGCATAGATGCTTTAACTG